TTTTTTAAAAAAAATGTAACTGCCATGTGCAGAGAAAAAAAAACATATAATTGGAGGAGGTTGTTTACTAGGGTTGGACTGTTAAACTTCTAGAGCTTGCCTGATTTTTATACAGTGTGATAATATTCACAATAACAGATCACAATACATTGTTCTGAAGTAGACAAGTGATCAGCTACAACTGAATATACTAATCTATGGGTTCAGAAGCCCTCAAGTAACCTCATCACTAACTGCATTAACAGTGTTGAGTGTGCAGAGCTGATACCTATGCCCACTTCATAATTTAATTTGGTATGGTAGATAAAATACAAGCGACTCTGTTTTCTACATTATATTGATATATGCTTTGAATTTTGGTCATTATACTATGCAGATTTAAAGCAAAATTGTATAACCACAGGCTTCATTATGTTGCTGTCTTTTAGAATAAAAATTGGAATTGCAAAGTGGAGTGGGCATATAAATTGAACATACAGTACACAACACTACAACAATCTTCTCAAGTTGGACACCCTCCAAATTGATAGCCTGTTGCTCCCCAAATTTTCAGTAATGGCCACACTTGCTGAGGAATTCTAGGGGTTGAAGTTCATAGATCCGAAGGTTGTCCTTATATGAGTCCTCTTACACAACGTAAGGCAACAACTGCCTAGAAATATTTAGAAGTACATGTAGAATGGAAGATTTTTTTCTAATGGAAATTTGGCAACATTTCTATAGAAGAATGTTGCATTTAAGCTTCAAATAAAAATAATCATGAACTCCAGGAAAGATTTATTTGGAATAAGGAATACAAGGCTTAGAAACATACTGCAGAGTCTGCAAACCTCAGCTCACTCCTTTCTTAAATCAAGCTACGTATATGTAATTAGAAGTCAAATCATTATAAACTCATTTTACCCATGCACTGAGAACTCAAGACCTATATTCTTCAGAAGACAAACCTACCTTAAAACACAAAACAGCCAACAGTACATATTTGAGTATTCCAAAAACAGATTGTAGGGCTGAAGAAAAACTTGTTCCATCAGACAGACAGCTATAGAAATGCTATAAAGGAGTTGGGACAAATATTTAGCTTTAAACTTGGAGTGCTGCAGGTATAAAATATCCTCCTGTAGCAAAAAAAGGGAATGGGGCTACTGCTTTCACATTCTTAGATGAACTCTATGCTACACCAGTCTCTGAGCAGCCCAAGAAAAGAAAGAAAGGAAAATGATGGGATTTACAGAAGTACTAGAAGGCAGAAGAAACAGAGCAAATAGACTGGCCTTGGTCAATTCACTTTATACAGGATATTTTGAAAAGGGCCATTCACTAAGTTGAAATAGATCTAAGAATATACAACAACATTTTAAGATCTTATTTTAAGATCTTGAGGCTTGTGCAAATCATATACAGGAATGGATGTTGGAGGCTCTTTTAAAAGTTAAAAATAATGTTTATTTATTAATTGCTTAGCGTAATGTGTATTTCCAAAGGAAGATTATTAAGCTACTAATTAGTTTTGACTTGTATACACCTGGGTTTAACTAAGGCTTTCAAATCTTGCTTCCAAAGGATTTGGTGCACTTTGTTCAAGAGAACTTTAAGAAGAGAATGTGTGTGTTTTTCACTAAAGATGCCAAGTCCAAGTAAGTAAATATTTATATGCCATACAGGTATGTGCAGAGTTTCAAAGAAGTAACTCCTCTGCTTCCTATCTTTAAAATGGAACAGAGCATCACCAAATATACATCAGATCTGAGGCAGTTTGAGGCAGATTCGCCATAACTTTGGGCCTTGTCCTCACTGAGTCAAAACATCCAGCTGAACTGGAATTCCATTGCTTTGCACACCCAGCATTTTATTGCTTCCGCAAGTTTTAAATTATGCTTACACCTGACCTCAAAAAGCATAGCTGAGCATTTTGAGTCAAATATGAATTGCTTTCAGTGAGGGACCTAAAAGGTTCAACATGAACCTTCAACTTGAACTAGTTAAATTTTGTATGTGAAAATGCCAGATCTGGACATTCCTGTCCAAATATAGCCTCTTAATGTTTTTTGCAAGTTTGGCTAAATTTATTATTCTTTTCTTCTCTTTTAAAATATTGTGTGAAGCTCTAAAAGCCTGCTAAGGCATTATCTTAGCCATTCAAGAATCTCACAATGGAAGTGTTCAAGTGGAGACTAAGCTTCTGTCTATCAGGGATATTTTCCTGCTGTAAGAAGAGGGTTGGCCTAGATGGCCCCTTCCAACTCTATTGAGTTGTTAAAGGTGGGAATTATTTTTACTGCTATACAATTCATAATGGGGGCAGATTAGTGTTAAATTGCTGCAATTTTTCCCAAAGTGTTTGAAAGCTGAACAAAAAGTTTAAAGTTTATCTGTTTATTATATCCTTGCAAAATACAAACTCCTTTTGATTAATGGTTTCCACATATGCATATCTTTATAGTGACAACCAATGTAAGTGTGGATATTTGAAATCACAACATGTAGAAGAGATGCAGATTAACAATAATGAGAAATGGAATTATAAAAAACATACCAAAGAATTCCCAACTGATGCTTTTGGGGACATTGAATTTGAAAATTTGGGTAAGACAGGAAAGGTAAGATAATCATCTTTTTCTTTTCTTTTCTTTTTTGCATATAAAATCAAATTCTTTAGGTGTTAACCTTTGAATTACACAATTTTAAGAGATATTAGACTGAGACTGTGTGCACACACTGTAAACCCAAGCAGCATTTTACAAAATCCAATTAAAATACTTTATTGCAAAAAATTACCAAGATACTTGGAGGTTTCTTTTTTCTCATTCTCTTTGTATACTTTTATAGAAAAATTTGGAACTGTTCATAAAAATGCAACACAAAAGTATGCTAGAATAACTGATAGGGCAAAAAAAGATGAGATGGATACAGCAGTTATTTAAATACAGCCAGTCCTTTTTAGCGACTACCTCAGTTAGCAACAGTTCGCAAAGACGACAATAATAAACAGTAATAAAAAAATCATTTCCCAACCAATGTGCGCGCTTATGCCCAAATTTCACATGCCTGACAACAATGCACGCTGGAGTTAGAGTAATGCTGGCATAGCTATACTGGAGAACTTTATGCAGATGAAATGGCAGCACCCAGTGATCTTCACAGTGTTTCTCTCTCTCGGTCACATGGTTTGCTTAGTGACCATTTCACTGGAACCAAGGGTGGGCACTAAACCGGGACAAACTATATAATGAAAAAGCAGGGCCCAAGTATATATTTGAATGCCCATTCAAAATATGGTAGCGTGAAGGAATTCCAAATTAGAAGAGTTGTTAAACATTTATTTTTCCTTCTTATTAAGATGTTGTAAAGGGGCACAATGAAACTTTGTGAATGGATTAAGAACTTCTAAAACAAAATGCTGTACTACACAGAAATCTGCTTGTATAAGAAAGGGCTTTTCATAACAGAAGGAGAGGCCAATGTAAATGGGAGTTTACTTATGACAAAATGTATTTATTCAAAATACATATGACAAAATGAGACATATGTATTTTGAATAAATTGGGTACTTTTCTCATTGTAACAATTATTTTTATTTCTTAGTACATTCGCCTGTCATGTGACACAGACTCTGAAACCCTCTATGACCTAATGACCCAACACTGGCAACTGAAAACACCCAACCTCATCATCTCTGTCACAGGTGGAACAAAAAATTTTGCCTTAAAGCCACGCATTCGTAAGATTGTCAGCCGGTTGATCTATATTGCACAATCCAAAGGTAAAGTATGTCCTTTTTCTTAAGTCTGGCATAGCAAAAAACAAATGGGCTTTCATTGGTTAAATATGGAGAAGAAAAGTGGAGGTGAGAGAGAACATAAATGGAGTTAACCCTCTAGCCTTAAAAATAAACTCATTTCATTTCATTTCATTATAAACCTTTTTTGGTTAAGCATACTGGGGTTTCTTGCCTAAACTTTTATTGATCATCAAAATGAGTAAAATTCAGTGAGATACAAATTACCATTTTAAATATGCTAGATGTCTGCCTTGTGACATTTAGAAAAATCTGGAAGTAGTAGCTGAATGTATCAGTGTCTGTCCAAACCAGGGAGGGAATTTATTTGCAAACAGTAATACATTTAAAAGGCAAAGTTTAATTGGTATATCTATGTCTGGTAGTTGTGTGGAACACGTTTTACTGGAAAAATATTTCTGAATAGTTCTGCTGATAAGTTTTAAGGAGTAATTGGGAGGGATATTCAAACATGTTTTCATGTTTACTTTTTAATCACCTCTAGATACCTTTTATTTATGTTCCCCGTATTCATATCTTGCTCACTTTGTCATCTAATGTTTCATTCTCTATGCATTCATTGGTCTTCCCTTTTTTGCAGTTCCTTTTTTTTACAATAGGCTCTTCATTATCAAAAAATCAGTTCAATTTTTATGTGAAAAAGTTTTGCATCTTATTTGATATTAAATGGAAACCTAATATAATTTAGTTTAAATATTGCTTTAAAACACTTTCTAAAACACACGTAGAAATTAGGATAGTTTACACACCTGATTGGAAGTATACTTGTATTATGATTCAATCAGAGGTATGACACAGGAGCATTGTGTTATGTGACTAAGTATATTATTTATATATTTTAATTGAAAAAGAATGCGCTAGTAATGTATAGCTTTTCAAATAATTTCATCACAAATCTTGCTGAGGGTAGATTTGAGTATTTACTCCCAGCTATTCCAAATATTTCATTCATAATCCAGACTTATTATCTGTTGCAAAATGGAAAGTAAAATGAACCTAGTCTGCATCGAAGTATACAGGCCTCAAAGTACTAAAATCTCTCCTTTCTGCTTGAAATTACATGGAGCAGTCTAAACTTTGTGGATGTTTTGTGCATCAGTTGTAAATTGCTACGAATCCTTGCTAGATTGAGTGGGATATTTGTAAATGAATAAACAAATAACATGTTTGATTTGAAACAATGTGCAGGAGCCTGGATATTCACTGGAGGTACACATTACGGACTGATGAAGTATATTGGAGAAGTAGTACGAGATAATACTATCAGTAGGAGCTCTGAAGAGAATGTGGTTGCTATTGGCATAGCTGCTTGGGGCATGGTATCTAATCGTGAGAGTCTTATCAGAAGCTGTGATACTGAGGTACTGAATTTTATTAACAATTTACATCCCAGAATTATTTCAGTTCCAATGTTATATATGGGGGAGAGATTTACTCATTTAAATCTATTCTATCACTTCATGTCTGCACTGATATTTGAAACAAGGACTTAACATTATATAGCCTACAGCTCTTGAAGCTTGAACAGTTATTGATCCTGACTAATTATTAATGAAATGACTGAAAGAATATTGTAAACAATGTATCATTTACAAAGCAATTAAATCAGCTGCAAATCATGTGGAAAGCCAAATTAGTCTTAGAAATGAATTATGTGAATTGACAGAATAAGGAAAAGATAGGACAGAACAAAGATTATGTTCACATAAAGATGGATCATACCAGGTAATAATTTAGCAATGAACATCAAAAAAGAAATGAAGGGAAACTTGCACATCAAAGTTGGTGACACTAATTTTCAAATGGCTGCTTACAAGAATACAGTTAAGAAATGGATGAAATCTAAGCGAGAGGTCCCACTTCTTCTCAGTGTTCCTCCTAAACCCTGGCTCCTACCTTCCCATCAGTTTCTTCACGGAGAAATTGCTTTTGTCTATGCAAAAAGGCTGATGCCTTGCATATCTGGTGGCAGCATGCATGGGCAACTTTAAGAGAGCCATGCTTGCAAATACTCCAACCAGTGCACCTCTGGTCAGGGCTTGAGGTTCCACAAGCTCAGTGAGCTCAGCTTAGTGAGATTTATTGTCCAAATGAATATGTATTTATTGTGTTATTAGCCTCTTTTTTTCAAAATTTGAAAAGGGGTTGCTAAATATACTATATAATGCAAAAAATATGGTGTTGGAAGGAACTTTATACCTAAATATTTTTATCTAATTCCCAGACATATTATTCAGCACACTACATCATGGATGACCTCAAAAGGGACCCATTATACTGCTTGGATAATAACCATACACATCTAATTTTGGTTGATAATGGAACTCATGGGTATCAAGGTATAGAGGCAAAGCTACGCGCCCAGTTAGAAAAATATATTTCAGAACGCATTATTCCAGGTCAGTTTCTAAAGGGGATGATTATTTTTCAGAATTAAGTACCCAATCAGTGTCAAATGTTATATTTTTGAGGATGAATAAATTCATTTGACTCACATATTGTTTAGGTTTTCATTGTAAATATCATAGGATATGTTATATTTAAAAGATAACTATACAGATGTAACATATTATTTAAGATAAAAATATTTTCTTTGCTGATTAGAAAAATTGTAGTTATTAGATGGAATACATGGGAAATTATTTCTGTTTACATTGTGATTTACAAAAGAGCATGAGCAAAATGATCAATTTCAGATCTTGAACTCAGCATGCGGCCTCTGAAACACCATACCCCAAGGAGCCAGAAAATATATTTCACTGACTGTGCTTCAACTAATTAAGAGAACTGTATTTTTCTAGTTTGTGTAGATACCTGAATGGCAGTGCACTCTTGCAATGTTTAGTCTGGTCCTTTGAGATGTTATAAGCTTTTTAAGTGCTGAGGTAATGACTTTTAAGATACTCACAAATTGGATAGCAGATATCTTTAGAGCAGCCCAGAAAGAAATGTCTGGGACGTGGCAAAAATGGGGTGACTCAAACTAATTCTTTGCAACTGGCTCGCACTTATAACAGTTGCAGTGTCCTGCAGTCACATTATCGCAATTTGCAAACTTCCTTGGCAGTGTCCCACAGGCAAAGTCAATAGGGAAGCTGGCAGGAAGTTGAAAGTCATGATCGTGTGAGGTCCTTGCTTAACAACGGAAACCGGGGACTGCCAGAACTGCTGTTGCTGAACTGTGCAGTCATGTGACATTACACTTTACAACTGTGTCACTTAGTGATGGAAATTCCAGTGCCAATTACCGTTGTTAAGCATGGTCTACCTGTAGATCTCTATTGGTGAACAACATCTGCTTACAGCATAGATGGTTACTGCCATATTGAAGCATAGCTAAGGATAGTTAGTAATAAACTGGCTGAGTTAAAAAAAAACATTTTGGAGCTTCCCACCCAGAAAAATAAAATATTTTTCATGCATCCAAACAAGAAGAAACAGCTAAACAGATATTTAAAGATATATTTGGACCCTACGACACCAACTGTTGATCTAAGTAAGGAGGTGGCATAAATCAAGTGTATAGAATTGGAAAAATCTGGCTCAAAAGCAGCACATATGAGAAGGACTCAGGTGGATTAGTTGTCAGCCCTATAGGGTAGACCAGACTAAAGCCATGTAGGTTGGTACTACTTTAATTGTAACAACTATAGTAACAGAATCATGCAAGATTGAATGTGCTTCCCTCCTTCCTCATTTTATCTTCATGTGAATTAGGGAAGGGCCTGTCTGAGGCCTTCACTCAAGTTAGTTTCTTGAAATGGGCTCAAGCCCTGCTTATCTGACCATTGCCTTTGGTAATAGATTTTCCCACTATCCTTCAAGGCCAATCTCTATGCCCTCTATGCTAGTGGATCACAAGTTCAATGTATCTCAACAGGGTAATGCTGCTGCAAAGAAGAAGGCCAATGACATGTTGAGGAGCATCAAGAGGAGCATAGAGTCCAGATCACAGGAAGTAATTATCCTGCTCTACTCTGCCTTGCACAGGCATCACTTGGAGTACTGTGTTCAGTTCTGCACACCCCAGTTTAAAAAAGAGATTGATATATTGGAGCAAGTCCAGTGAAGTGCTACCAAGATTAGAAACCAAGTCCTATGAGGAATGGTTAAAAGATCTTTGATATGTTTAGCTTGCAGAAGAGATGGTTGAGAGGGGACATGATAGCTCTTTTCAAATGTCTGAAGAGCAGTCACATTGTAGAGGGTTCAGATTTATTCTCACTTAATCCAGAGGGTAAAACTAGAACGAATAGGATAAAACCTCAACAGTGTAGATCAGATTAGGCATTACAAAGAACTTCTTGTAAGGGAATAGGTTGCCACAGTGGCATAGGTTAATGCATGGAATGGTTCCTTCCCCTTCACTGGCAGTTTTCAAACAAAGGCTGGAGAGCAATCTCTCAGGAATGGTGTAGTGAATCCTACAGTTGGGGTTTGGACTTAATGACCTCTACAGTCCCTTCCAAGTATGATTCTATGAAATTAAATTATCTTGATTCCTGCAACTGAATCGAATATCACTATGCATGGTGCTTAATAAGATTTATAGAAATGATGGTCATTACAAAAATAAGTTATTTGTTCCTTGCTTCATCCAAGCTACTTTGACACCAGTATCACCCTACTGATTTCTATGCTAATAGCCTCACCATTCCACAGAAAAAAAATCTTAAAGTTTAAGCAGCCTTCTATTCCTCATGCAGTCATGTGAAAAAGTAAGTACATCCCATGTAAAGTTTTTTTCTTTTTTAACATATGTGAACATATCAATATTTTATCTTCACTCAAACAGCATATAAATACAGATAGTCCTTGGCTTACATCCATTCATTCAGTGACCATTCAAAGTTACGGTGGCACCGAAAAAATCGATGTATGACCAGTCCCTGAAGTTCAGGCCATTACAGCACTCATGCAGTTACACGCGGGTGCCCAGCTTGCAATTACAATGTTGCAGCGAGCTGTGGTCATGTGATTGCGGTTTGCAACCTTCCCTGCCAGCTTCCCACAAGCAAAGT